GGCTTAAATTTATTATTCCGATTTCTTTTCTTAAAATATTTTTTATGTGGTTTAAAATTCATTTTCTTAAATTTTTTGTAGTTTTTGAATTTTCTTTTATATTTCTTATATGGTTTATACTTTTTCTTATGGCATCCAAATTGTTCAACTTGGCCATTATCTTTGTAACAACATAATGAATTCTTTCTTATTTTATATGCTTTTTTATTTTCTAAAGTTTCTCTACACCATATGCCTATCATTCTTTTTTGTAAATTCAATTCTACTTCCAAGACTATCTATTTTTACCCCTTCCTCTTCTCCTAGAGGTAGTAATTTTTTATATTCTTTTAATAACTTAATTCCCCATGGGAATGGTAACTTAGTAAAATAAGATCTTAATATAGGTTTATTTTCTTGATAATCTCCTTGGTTTAATATATAGTATATTTCTTCGAATTTACATGTGTATCTTTCTAGCTCACACATATCACATATGTTTAAATTTTTCATTGCTGTCATTCCTTGATTATATTCATCTTGTTTTCTTTCTTCATCATTAGAAGTATATCTATCTCCTAAGAATTCTGTTCTTAAGATTTTTTCAAATCTTTTTAATATCTCCTGAATATTTTGTTCATTTAATGAATTTCTATTATCTAATACTTCAGTTCTACCTGCTCTATACTTTATTCTTCCTTTAATAGTTTCTGGTAATTTTCTCCACCATTCAGAAACAATTCCTCTGAATGTATGTTCTATAAATCCAAAAACTTTATATGTTTCTCATTTATTAAATTGTATTGCTAAATCTGTACTTTTCATCCATGTTTCAATAGCTTTATTTTTATCTACACAGTCTAAATCTAACCATATCCCTGTTGTATGGATTGGTTCATTATAAGATTTCATTGGGTTTATTTCTTTTATAGGCCGTTTTCTTACATTTTCAGTATATCTTTTCTGTGTTTTTCTATATTGGTTAATACCATCCTTAAGTTGTATTGTAGTACCATAAGGATAATCATATTCTTCATCACTGCTAAATTCTATTTTTATATTTTGACTTGATGATGGATTAGTATTCATCTTTGTATTTTCAATTTTTTCAGTTAGTTCTTCTAATTGTTCTTTATATTCTTCATACTCTTCTCCTGTAGATTCTAAAAATTTTTGTTCTATTTCTTCTACATCTGTAATCATATATTGTTTTTCTTCATGTTTTTTCCCTTTATTATTTTCTTTTTGTGTTATTCTAAAATCTTGAGGTGGATTAATTATAATCCTATCTTTTCCTTTAAGACTTTTATCTAAAAGAGCGTTTCCTACTTGTAAATTATGTTCTAGATTTTCTAATCTTTTATGTATATCCCCAAAATTTTCATTTGTGGTGTTTTTAGGAAAATAGGGATAACTAGGTTTTTTATGTTTTTCAACTTTTTTCAAAAATTCTTCAATTATATTTTCTTCATCTACTATATTCATCATTACTTTTGGTTCGTAACATGGCTCTGATACCATTTCTTCGGAGTGTGCAGCGGAGGGGTTAATATTTTTGAGCCAATTAAAATCTTCATAAGTATTTAAAATATCACAATAGAATTTATAAAATTCACTATTTTTTATTAATACTTTTTCTTCAATAATTATATTTAGTTCTTTAATTCTTCTTCTCACATTAAGAATTAGTTTATATATATCATTTTCTGTTTTGATTGTATTATTATCTATAGAAATATTTTTATTTTTTAATTTTGGATCTAAATATTCTGTAAAGAATCCTTTCAGATCTTCTTCTAAATAGTTTAATTCACTTTCTGTTGTGTTCTTTAGATCAATAAAATTTTGTATAATATTTGGGTTTAAATTTATTAAAGATTTTTGATCTATATTTCTTTGAGGACCTAATTGAAGGTTTTTATATATTGTAGTGGTTTTTGTTGCAATTTCACAATAAGGGGTATTTTTGGAAAGATAATTGTTTAAAGACTATTCTTCAAATGTTTATATTTTTTGGTCTAATCTTACAAAACTACCTTCTATTTAGGCTATCTAGAGGTATTTCCTCATAGTTTTAACTAACCAAGTTGTTTAGGTTTATGTCAAATTGCATAAACCTATTATCAATATTTTTCGATATCTATTATAATTTGCATCATTCGCTAATCAGTAGAGTACTTTGTTGGACATGTTAAAAAACTTGTACATGTATTAAGTCGTTTTTAATATTTCCTCCTATATGGGATCAAGATGAGCCTTTTTTATTTTTATGACAAGGGACCGCAACCGCTAGTCTCTGGATTCGCATTAGGTAAATCCTTGGGTTGACGAAATAGTCTGCAAATCACGTCAGCCAGGTAAGCTGCACTAGGCAAGCCTTATATGACAGGTCGACCGAAAAAGTATTGATAGGGGGAATCAAACTCTTGACCAAAGACCTCCGCGTTCACCTACTCCACCAACTCGACAACCCTATAGTGTAGGGGAGGGAGGGAGGGAGGGGAGTCCACAAAACAAGTGCAATTCTACAATGGTATAGCATGGATGTAACTCTCACGATAAGATTGAAATTGAAAAATGCCGATTAGAATAGATATATGATTTTTTAAAACTAGAGTTTGATTTAAATTATGTTTGTTTTAATTAAATAACTTTTTTAAATTTATTAAAGTTCATTTAATTTTAATTTATTTTCCCTTTTAAAAGACGAAGGATTTTGTTTGTTAAAAAACATGATTATTTATTGAACATTGAATATCTATCACCCAAATTCTTCTCCATTTTCTCTCTCTCTCTCTTCCCTATTTATATTTATTGTTAAGATTAAAGAAACACTTCAAATTCTGGGTTCTTACTTGCTTTTGATTCTATCTTTTCACGCTATTAGTCAGAGTTAAATATATGTTGCACGTTTTTCTAAAATATTTTATAAGCACTACTTAAGTAATATTTGAAACTCAATTTAGGCCTCGTTTGGTATCTATTTTTTTTTTCAGAATGAGAATGAAAAATATTGTTATTACGAGATCCACAAAAGAGATAGAAAGTCAAATATGATATTTGATGTGATAGATAACGATCATATTTTTCATTCTTGTGGTCAAAGAATGGAAATCAAACGAGGGCTTACTCTTTTGATCTAAATATGATTGAAATGTAAGAGCCTGTTTGAGAGTGATTTTTTTCTCCAAAAAAAATTGATTTATTTACTGTTATTTCATTATTTCAACTGTCATATTTGACTTTTTCTCTCACAAATGGACCTTACTTTTCTCCTAACGGTCAAAAAATCAATTCTCAAAATCACTTCCAAACATGTTCTAAATCTCTAAAAATAAATACTAATTAATATAGATGCACGTAAACCGTGAAACATATACATGAATGTGAGCATTAGAATTACACCAAATGTATAAATGAAGATGAAAGGCAACTAAAATACATGAATTAGCATGAATGGTAATTAATTTAAAATTAATACTAAGAAATATATATGTGACAATGAATGTTAAATCATTTATACTAAATTAATATAATTTAATTCTCAATTAGGTGAAACTAGATGCTAATTAGCATACATGGACGTGATAATGAATTGCGCTCTTGAATGTAAAATTCTAATTAATATTAATTAAATGAATATGAATGTTAATTAATTTAGAATTAATAACAAAGATATGGGCATAAATTTGAATCTGAAATGCTAATTAATATTAATTAAATGAATGTCAATGTTAATTAATTGAGAATTAATAATAAAATATTGCTATTTAGCTACACTGGGGCTGAACCCTAGATTACATGGTTGAATCAACATTCTTAGCTCCCGTTTGGCCCCTATTAATTTTCATTTTTCTCTTTTCAATTTTTAACAACACAATTTTTTATAAAATAATAGTATGCGTAAATTAAAAATTTTTCCTTATTTTTCAACTATTCATTAAAAAAAAAAGTATTACACCCATTAATTTTTCCACAAAATGGGGGCCAAAGAGGGCTTAATGAGTAATATGGAGTACATGCATGAACAACGATTTTATAATATTTATTATAGTTTGTAAATTAAATACATATTGAAAAACGAAAAGCTTGATATTATTGAAATAATTGAATTGTGCTAGAGCTATAATCGTCTAAAAAATTATTCTCATTTCAGTCATTTGATGTAATGTTAAATATATTATAGATATAGATTATAGATAGATTTTTGCTTTGGCAACATAGAATTAGCAATTTACACATACAAATTTAACTATGTAACAACTTTGATGATTAAGTTAGACAAAATAATTTTACTTGAATGCTTAGACACTAATCTAAATTTTGGCATAGCTAATCCATTTAGTTTTCAGAAGAGTGCTCATGATGGCGTATAATTTGAACATTAGATTACGTACCATACCTATAGAATTGAAAATTTCCTCCGAATGTACAATATTGTCCAAGATTGCATACTAAACATGCCTTGTAATGTACATTCTTGCATGCATCGTTATGATAAGACGGTGCCACTAGCAATTATTATATGTTTCAAAAAAATAAAGCCAAACCCCGTACAACCAAAAGCAGTAAGAATAGATGAATAAGATTGTAGACAAAATTTTAAGAGTCCGTTTGATGGTGATTTTGAGAATTGATTTTTTTCTGTTAGAGAGAAAAGTGGGGATCACATGTGAGTAAAGAAGTAAAAAATGACAGCTGGAATAATGAAATAACGGTCAAAAAATTAATTTTTCAGGATGAAAAATCACTACCAAATGGGACCTAAATAAAAATTTCAGTTTTATACCATTTAAAAGCATACAGTCCACTCTACCAAACAAGTAGAAAGACATATTTTATACACTGAATTGGTTAAAGACATAATTAATGGATAGAGACATCTGACAAAACTTATCCTATTGTCTTATTTAATTCTTAACATTTTATAAGCTCTTGAGAATAAGCAATTTTGAATGCCCCAACTATTGGCTTATCTGTAATATGAACTCAAAAATAATAATAATAACAATAAAATCAAATGAGAAATGGATTATAGCTCTAATACTTGCTGAAATTAATGAACTAATCTTACATGCCATTGACTGCACAATGCATCCAAAATCTTTTATTTTCTTGCTGTTTGGGTTCTGGGAAGTTCTCTATTTACACTTTTTTGGTTGACAAAAATATATCTAAAGCAATATATCACCATTATTTCTACAGCCCTTCTATATATATGCAAATATAATTTCCCCCACAACCTTGACCGCGATTGAACCGAAATCATCAGATTTGAGTAAAACTAAGCAGTTTCATCAAAATTGACCCTCTCACCTGTAGAGAAGAGATTCCAGAATAAAGCAGCAGAGATATACAGGAATGCTGTCAGCAACAAAAATCCCTTGAAAGAACCCACTAGTTCGACGAAGAACCCAGCACCAACCGTTCCCACCATAGCAGCAAAAGAGCCGGCAGTATTCGAAATACCTATATGTTGAATGGAAAAAGATCAATTATGTCACCAAAACAACTTAAGCATGAAAATCTAGTTCACTTATAACATGCTTGGTAAAAAGGATTGGAAAGCACTCAACACCCAAGAAAGAGAAGCTAAAATTATGTTTATTGTAGCAAGCAGTGCAGTCTTGTTCAGCAGTACGTACCAAACATGATCTATATACATGTAAAGAAATGTCAAAAATACATGTAAAGAAATGTCAAAATATGGAAAATGATTGAACAAACAACATTTCATCAATGGTACATTAGCAGGCCTACTTCATAAGGGGGGAAAAATAGATGTTGGTTTATTATTTCCCCCACCCCCTTCCCCCCACTGGGTGCACAGAGGGTGTCAGAGAACACTGGGAAAGAAGTAAACATGTTTGGCTAAGCTAAAAAATCAGTTAAAAGTTACTTTTAAGAAAACCCTTTGTGTCCAACATATTTGGATAACTTACGTTCAAGTAAAAAATAGTTACTTATTTCAAAAGTAACTCCTACAAGTAATTTATTTCCAATTTTGAGCAGTAAAAACAATTGTTTCAAAACTTTCAACACAAGAATCCGGCAAGTCCAGGGAGATTTTATTCTTTTAGGATCAACCTTCTCCTCATCCTTCCCTTTTTGTTTTTGATCTTTCTATTGTATCGACGATCGTAGATGTTCCTGATGATGGATCCACACACATATTTATATAGCAGTGAACAGTACTCAGTAGACTGTAGACCCATGCTTTCTCACAAGGTTAAGCCTCAATGAGTACAAATCATAAAGCATAAAAGATAGAGAATTACCATGTAGAACACCAGAGTACTGTGGGGCGATCTCCTGGTCACAGAAGAATATGAAAGATAAATTATAATTGCCCAATATTTGCCGAAATGCCTAATAATAATGTACAGAGTATGTTAACCTGAAGGTTCACTAGGAAGCCACAGTGACTAAATGCTTTCAATCCAACAGCTACAGTAAGCCAAGCAGATGCCAGTAACGGACTTTTTGCTGTCGTTAAACCAATGAGAGCAATGCCAGGCCCGATAAATCCAATTGACTGCCAACAAAATATAAGGACAACATATCAGGTGCATATCATATTTATAGAAAAGAAACGGGTCAAAAAATGATCACTTATCAAAAATAGTATAGGATCGAACATAAACAAGCAACGGGGTGATGATGATCACTTATCAAAGAAGGATAAATAAGTAAATCAAATAATAACTACCCATTGATGGAGATAGAATTTAGATAGAATTTTAAAATAGAGTTCTATTCAAATTATGATTGCTTAGACTAAATTAGATTAATTTTTCTAGTTTATTAAATATTCTTTTGATTTTAGCTTCTTTGCTCTATATAAAGAGGCTTATTCATTGTAAAATAGACCCCTTTAATATACGAAATAAATTGATTTTCTCTTGCCATAACTTCTTCTTCTTGTTGGATCCCCCTTTCTCTTTCTCATTCCTTTTCTTCTTTAATTGTTCATTCTCAAATTGTTACGTTCCTATGTGAAAAAAAAACCCCCCCCCCCCCCCCCCCCCCTCTTGTATCTTTTTTTTCCCTCTCCACTTTCCAAGAGCAAGAGAGGCAAGACTTTTTTGGCTGGAAGGAGGGTTTGCAATCATGTCGCCTAGAAAATCTTATGATAGCGAAAATATGAATGTCAGTATTGCAAATATACAAACAGAGGAGAACAAAGTCACACCTGCATAATTTTGCGAGTCAAAGTAACACTTATGCCTCTCTGAATCATCATGTCTGACCAAAACCCAGCAAAGTAGCCTACTACAGCCATCACGCTCCATGGAACAGCACTAAACCATGCAGCTTCTCTGAGGTCAACATGATATATCTACAAAAGACGTACATTCTCTAATTTATCTTACTTAGTAAACGATAAGTTAGTTGGTATCTGGAAGCAATTACACGTATATATTGTAACTAACCGTTTTAAAGTAAATTGGCATCCATGAAAGTATAACAAAAAATCCCTGCATGAAACAAGATAAATATGAGATTATCTTCTACAAAACAATCTTGCCAGCAAAACAATGGGCGATAAGTTGTACATGAGTGGATTCTGATAAATACTGACAGAAGTTAAAACACATGAGACATATTTGATAAATATTAACAGAACATCTTGCATAATAAGCTAAACGACGAGGGGGATGTATTACCCAGCTGTGCATGGAATTTGCAACAATTAGAGACCAAGTTGGTAGCTTAGAGAGCAATCGCCTAAAAGGAGGAATGACTTCTCTTGTGTTCTTTTCATTCTTCGAGAGAGAGGGTACAGCCACCTTGTTCTGTATGTACCTCAACTCATATGCTGATATTTGAGAACTTTGCTCAGGAGTGCTCGAGGTTGCAGATACCCAAACTAACACCCAGAGAAAGCCACATAATCCGAATATTACAAATGGTCCAGACATGCCACCCTGTGACATAAGGATTGGAGAAAGTGTAAGTCCAATAGCACTTCCAAGCTGAAATCCAGCCATTGCAAGTCCTACAACCCTTGCGCGTTCTGTTTGAGGAAACCATCTATAAGAAAAATTTAAATAGATTTAACCTTCTGGATTTAGCTTTGCCAACGTTCCTTACATCCTGAATGATAAAATGATGTGAAAAAGAAAAATCATATTTGAGGGATTTTATAGCTTTGGTACCTTGCTATCATATTGTTCATACAAGGAAGCGCTACACCTTCTGCGATGCCAAGCAGCATTCTCACGGCAAGCAGTGCCAAAACAGATGTTTCTGCAGCCCAAGGAGTAAGGAAGGTGGCCAAAGACCACAAAGCCACTCCCCACGCCATGACTACCTTACCACCATAGTAGTCCACCAGTGTCCCTCCAGCTATAGGTGATATCATGTATCCCCAGAGAAAAGATGACTACCATCAATGAAATTTACCCCAATCAGAGCCAGTCATTACAGCTGAAAAGCAAGGAGGTAGTATATATCTTATGCTATATACATGTATGCGCTTCAAATTTTCATTAAAACTCAATAATGAATTTATTTCCGTTCTGAAGATAAGGAGGTAGTATATATATCTTTATGCTATATATTTCAAATTTTCATAAAAACTCAATAATGAATGTATTCCCGTTCTGATATATATATTCTTTACATGATGCCAAGAGGATGCCACCCATTTACAAAATAATAATTACTATTTCTCTAAGAAATTATATGCACTCTACTAGAAGTTGGTGAAAGATAGACAACCCCCAGGTAAATACTTGAATCCATAAAAAAAGTAATAGTGCTTCAGAGTATTTTCTATAGCTTCAAATTTGCTTCTATTTCTATGTATCACCTAGAAAAACTGCACAATAGTAAACTGTGTCTCAATTTAAGAAACAGTGCTTCATTTATGAGGCATTTTCCGTCTTGGCCAATAGGTGAAGTGAACGGGGAAGCATAATGCTTGAACTACTGATTTCTATACCACGGCTCAGCTGACAGTTACAATCTTTGACAAGCCATATCCTGATGGTGCCTTCAGGTGGCAGGTGTAGTAAGTTGGTTAGATAAGTCATTTGGAAATATTTTGAAAAGCATATTAGAAACAATTCCCTATTCTGGGCCCAAATTCAAGATGAAGAATCCATATTATACATGTAACTATCCATGGGCATGTAATTTTTTATATATTACATGTAAGAGTTCCCACCCCCATACTGCTAACTGAAGTTTATTACAAAATCATGTAACTAGCTAATAAAAATCATTACCCACCTTCAATACTTACTTGCAACTGCGTATTCTTCTTTTCTAATGAGTAATAGTGCACAACAACTATAGTAATGCATTTGTCTTTTTTAAGAGAAGACACATGAAAGAATTTGTACTAGGCTTGCATGTGCAGCTACCCTTGAATGCGGTAATTCATCCCAGACACTTCCACAAGCCTCACATAAAGATTAGTATTCAATGCGGCTAGCTCATTACAAAACAAATTAGTTAGTAATTCAGTTCCGTACAGTAAATTGAACAGTAAAGACATCTAACATTTCCGTGTACATCTATTTCATACATGAGGAATAAATTCTAATTCAAATCGAAACGGGGAGGAGGCTTTTACCTGAACAACGCCAGCAAAAGATTGACGCCAACCATGAGAGAGCGAAAGAGGCACAATAGCCACGGACATGACAACACGGTCAGCATTGCACAATGCCAAAGCTAATGCAAGCAATGTAACTACTTTGACTCTCTCTGAAGTAATAAATTCCAAAAAACTCGGCTCTCGTACTTCATTTTGGTCATCAAAAGAAGAAGTGCCCGCTATAGATTGAGCATCATTTGATGAAGCCCTTAATCGATTCAATTCAAAATTCCGGGTTTTATAAGGGAATTTTACTGTGAAGCGATTATTCAGAGAACTGAAAGTTTTAAAGGAGTTTGTGAAGATTGTACAAGGTAATTTAACGTTAGAAAATTTGTAGCTTTTGTAGGGTTTGGGGTTTTGGAGGATTGGAATTGGGTTTGTGCTATGGTGTCGATTGAGAGCAATAGGAGAATTCATGGCCGCCGATTACTCTGTAATTTCTTCTCAATTCCAGCTTGATATGTGTGAATCTCGACTCCGATAACACCTTTATCTCAAAGTATAATTCAAACAATCCCCAAAGCTGTTGCCTGTAAATTTTTTGTTAGGATTAAAATCTTCGTTTTGGAATTTTTAAAGTTTTCTGCAATTTCATCAACCTAATATTGGACTGAAGTTTGACTTATCAATCTACTTGATAATGAAATCGGTGTCCTTTAGGCTTTAACTCTCCGATAAAATCGATGATGAATTTGTTGGTTTCCTTTTGTCTAGTCATTCTGTGCTGTTTGACAGACTTCTTATAGGTAGAACGCTTGGCCATTTTTCATTCATTATTGACAAAAGTATAACAATACAGCCCTTGTTTGAGTCCTTTTCAATCAAAATATATTTTTCAACAATAATTTGACATCATTTCAATCACACATTCTTCAATCAAATAATATTATACGTAAATCAAAAAATTTTCCTTATTTTTTAACTACATATTTCCATCAATACACTATTTAAAAATTCATTTTCTTCACAAAAATGGAGCTCAAAAAAGAGTTGTTTACCAAGATTTTTTTATTTTTTTTAAGGGAAAATTACGGTGATCGCAAAATAAAGAATTTCAAAATTAAGAAATTAAGTTTATTATTTTAAAAATCAAGCCTTAATTAATTAAAAATACTTTATTAATTAAATGTGTCGAATTCATGGATCATATAATAGTTTTCGATCACAAATCACAAATTTTACACGTCACAATTTCTTTGTCAGTGACAGATTATCAAATTAATAGGCCATGTATTATTTTTTTGCTCACAAATCACAAATTTTATAAATCGCAATTTATTTTTCAGTCATTGATTATCAAATTAATAGACTACGTCTTATTTTCGACAACAAATCATAGATTTTATAAGTCACAACTAATTTCATGATTACAATTTATTAAATTATTTTTCGAGTATAAATTATTAATCTAATTGGTCACAATTTCACAAATTAAAAGTCACAATTATAAATGGGAAGCTCTATTTCCATCAACACTTTTTATAAGTACATCTCCACTCTAAGTTCATTCTTAATAAAATTTAAAAAAAATACTGTTTACATCCACTTTATATTCCAATCTTGTTCTTACTAAATTCATTCATTTAAATAACATATATCCACATAAATTTTGTATATTCATCTCTTTTTAGATACATCCCTAACACTGTGAATTCATTTTTTTTTATCTTCTTTTTAGAATCTGTAGGAAAATTCGTACTAGAATGCAATATTCAAAACGCATCATTCATCCTATCAGTAACTACATTATCTAGCCTTGATAAAGTTACAAATTTATCATAAACTTACATAAAAGTTGAACTAATGATAACTTTAAAGAATAAAAAACACCATCAGTTTTTTTCAAAAAACATATAGGGTTTGTTCGGTAGTAATTTTGAAAATTGATTTTCTGAGCGTTAGGAGAAAAGTTGAAACCACCCGTGAGAGAAAGAATCAAAAATTACGACTGAAATAATAAAATAACGATCAAAAAATCAATTTTTTGGAATGAAAAATCACTCCCAAATGGGGCCATAGTAAAACGGACATCAAATGTGTAAAATTTATTTGGAACTATATTATCAAGGGAAAGTGAGAGTAGTTTAGTAATCATGTTTACATAACACCAAAACAATTTCAAATTAAGTCCTCCGATGACTACCACTGCCTACAGTTTAGCTTCTTCCTAAAAATTTCCATAAACATCCTAGTATCGAAGAACTTGAATTCAGCGAAGGTTCGAATGATGCATTGTCTTGATTAATAGAATCTTTCAAAGTCAAGCATCGATCGTTTTGGGGATAAGAGGGATGGGCAACTGGCCTTTCTAAGAGCCCTTCATCTTGGCTTCTTGCTCACGGATCTTCTGCATCCGGAGCATTCTCTCCATAACAAGTTCATACTCGCACTTTTCATAGGTGTGGCGCTCCGCCTCACACTTCTAGAGCAAATATAAAAAACACGGTGCAATTCTAGAATGTGGTGAGAAGAAGTGGAGTAGTAGGTGAGGAGAATCTCTCTCTGAGAGTTTTCTGGAGTAGGAACTATATATTTGGATTTTGGGTAGTGTTGTAATTCTAGAATGTTTTGATTACGCTAATTATATGATTTCATCAGTTAATAGGGTAGTGACCAAATTAGTCAATTTTTTAGAGTATTGCCTAATTTTCCCTAATTATATTCATGTAATTTTTCTTAATCTATTAGGATTATAGTTAAACACAAAATACTAAAAGAATAAAAAAAGATTTAGGATAATTTAATGAAAGTAAAAATTAGTGGATCAATTTAGAGTTTTGTATTTTTATTTAATTTTGTTTATGTTTATTTAACTAAATTTACATAGGATTTAAAATATAATAAAAATTTATTTTTTAAAAGTGGATGTACTTATAGAAAGTGTGGATGGAAATAACGATATCTTTATAAATTTAGTCAAAATTTTACCATTTTAATTTTTATATTATTTATTGATCACAAATTAATCAATTTATTAGTTATAAACACCAAAAATAATTAACGCTGAACACTCTTTACCTCACTCCCACCCCAGTGCATCACCTCCACCAACACTCTCACTGTTGGAAATTAAACTTGATTCATGAATAATAAAAAAATTAAATTTGATACATGAATTAATTTATTTAATATTCATACATTTATTTAAATCATGTATCCAAATGGTTCTTTGTATCATATTATTCATAGTATGTAGGAAAAGTCATTAATCAGTCTATTAAGTTCATACAATGTATTTGAGATCATTTGTACCTATAAAAAGCCTTGTGCTTAAGACATTTTATTGGGTCAAGCCATAGAATACAAATATTTTTTAGAATTCTCTAAACTTTTCTCTCTAGTCTTTCAACCCATAATTTTTTATTTCCAAAAAAGTGGTATGAGAGTCATTTCAAAGATGATTAGTTCATTTCCTTTTGTTGTTCCCAAACTAATAAAGAAAAATTATGAATATTGGAGCATACGCATGAAGGCGTTGCTCGGCTCACAAGAGGCATGAGAAGTTGTAGAGAAAGACTATGATGAACCAGATAATGAGAGAGCTTTAAGTCAAACTCAATGAAATGCCTTGTAAAAGTACCGCAAGTTAGATCAACACGCTCTCTCTGTTATTCACATGGGCTTAGATGAAGTCATATTTGAGAAAGTCGTGTCCTCAACAAAAGCTAAGGAAGCTTGGAAGATTCTTGAGAACAATTTCAAGGGAATTGAAAAAGTGAAGAATGTTCGCCTTCAAATCCTTCGTGAGAAGTTCGAATCTCTGCACATGAATGAGTCTAAATCTATCTTTGACTATTTCACTAGAGTGTCCTCCATTGTCAATCATATGAAGCGGTACGGGAAGAATATTGAAGAAAGTCGTGTCATCGGGAAAATTTTTAGATCGTTTGATTTAAAACTTGAGTTTGTTAGTATTGTCATTGAAGAGTCTAATGACTTAGGTACCATGACCCTTGATCAACTCATGGGGTCCTTGCAAGTATATGAAAAAAGATTGAAGAAGAAAGGAGAATCGGTGGCTCAAGTTCTCCAAACGAATGTCTCCTTGGGAGGTCAACAGAAAGAGCAAGGACGATCTCAAGGAAGAGGTCAAATTCATGGTCGAGGTCGTGGAGGAAATTATGGTCGTGGTAATGAAAGAAATGATGGAAAATAAAATTTGAATAATGAAGGATCAAGCAATCAATTGAGAGGACGAGAGTGTTGGAACTATGGCTCCAAGAGAGGTGGCGGAAGGAGATATGACAAATCCAATGTTCAATGTTACACTTGTCATAAATATGGTCGCTATGCTTCCAAATGTACGAGTGACACCATCGATAATGAGGAGAGTGACACCACCAATAATGAAGAAAGATTGAATTATGTTGAAACAAAGGAAAATGAAGAATTGTTGTTTTTGTTGGCAACCAAAGAAGAAAATGATAAACAATCGTGGTACCTTGACACCGGTGCTGCCAATCACATGAGTGGCAACAAAGAGTTATTCTCAACAATAAATGAGTCGGTAAAAGGCAACATTGTTTTGGGAGATGAAACTAAAATTCCAATAAAAGGCAAAGCTGATGTTCTTAATCGTGCTAAAAATGGAAGTCATCTTTTGATTTCTCAAGTTTATTATGTACCTACTTTGAAATCTAATATTTTGAGTTTGGGACAATTACTTGAGAATGGCTATGACATTCATTTGAAGAATTGTTGCCTCACTTTGAGAGATGTTTATCATAAACTGATTGCAAATGTGCCAATGGAGAAAAATAAAATGTTTTTACTCAATGTTAATGTTAACCATCTAGGGTGTCTAAAAGCTTGTGTTGAAGACAATTCTTGATTTTGGCACTTAAGATTTGGTCATTTGAATTTTGTTGGCTTGAAGACCTTGACGGATAAAGAAATGGTGAATGGGTTGCCAAAAATTAATCATCCCAATCAACTTTGTGAAAGATGCCTCATTGGCAAGCAAACTAGAAGAAGCTTTCCAAATGAATCCACCTCAAGAGCAACAAAACCACTCCAACTTGTTCATGCGGATGTGTGCGGGTCAATCAAACCACCCTCTCATGGTAAAACAAATTATTTCTTACTGTTTATTGATAATTTTTCTCGCAAGAACTAGGTTTATTTTTTGAAGACGAAAGATGAAGTTTTTGGAGCAATAAAAAAATTCAAAGCCCTTATTGAAAATGAGAGTGACAACTCAATCAAAGTATCGAGGTGGAGAATTTACTTTCAAGGAGTATAACAATTTTTGTGATACCAATGGAATCCGGCATTTCCTTACAATTCCAAGATCACCGCAACAAAATGGTGTTGTGGAGCAGAAGAATAGAACCATCCTTAACATGGTTCGTAGTATGCTTAAGAGCAAGAGTATGGAGAAGGAGTTTTGGGCCGAGGCTGTTGCATGTGCCGTGTATTTGTCTAATCTTTCCCTGTCGAGGAGTGTTTAAGACATGACTCCACAAGAAGCTTGGAGTGGTAAGAAATCTAGTGTTTCTCATTTATGTGTTTTTGGTAGTATTGCTTATATTCATGTGCCGGATGAGAAGAGATTAAAACTTGATGAGAAAAGTGAAAAGTTTGTTTTCATTGGTTATGATGCAAACTCTAAAGACTACAAGTTTTACGATTCTTGCAATGGAAAGGTTGTTATTAGTAGAAATGTGAAATTCGACGAATGAAGTTCGTGGGATTGGAATGTTCCAAAAAAATGAAGAATGTGTGATTTTTCCTTTCCAAGAAGGAGACACTAGCAAAAATGCAAATGAAGATGCCACTTCACCGCATTCTCTTGCTCCTCAATCTCCTCATGATAGTCCCTCCGAAAGATTGAGTTGTTGATAATCTATCTTTGTTTTGTCTCTTCCCTGACACCGAGCCATTGAACTTTGAAGAGGCAATGGAAGACAAGAAATGGAGGCATGCAATGGATGAGGAGATCCGAGTAATAAAAAAGAACAATATATGGGAGCTAGCCTCTCTAACTGAAGGGCAAAAAGCAATTGGCGTGAAATGGGTGTACAAAGTAAAGAAAAATACTCAAGGAGAAGTAGAGAAATACAAGGCAAGACTTGTTGTCAAAGGCTATAGCCAAAAGTATGGCATTGACTATGATGAGGTCTTTGCCTCCGTTGCTCACTTGGAAACCATTCGATTAATCATTTCCTTGGCAGCTCAAAATAAGTGAAAAATTTATCAAATGGACGTCAAGTCCGCTTTCTTAAATGGATACCTTGAAGAAGAAGTGTACGTTCAACAACCATTGGGTTATGTTGTCAAGGAACATGAAGATAAATTTTTGAAGTTGAAGAAAGCGCTATATGGCTTGAAGCAAGCGCTTAGAGCATGGTATAGCCGGATTGACAAGTATTTTCAAGATCATGGATTCATCAAATGTCCACGAGTATGCTCTTTACGTTAAAAGGACACATTTGGAGGTTTTATGATTGTGTGCTTGAACGTTGATGACTTGATCTTCACGGGCAACAATGAAAACATGTTTGATGAATTTAAGAGAATGATGGCTCAAGAATTTGAGATGACCGACATTGTGCTCATGTCATACTATCTCGGGATTGAGGTAAAACAAAATGGAGATGCCATTTATATTTTTCAACAAACTTATGCAAAGAAAATTCTTGAAAAATTCAAAATGCAAAATTGCAATCTGGTGAGAACTCCCATTAGATGTGGAACAAAGATTCAAAATATGACGAGAGCACGAAGGTGGATCCATCTCTCTATGGCAGCTTGTTATAAGCTTGAAATATTTGACTTCTACAAGACCCGATATTCTTTATGGTGTTGATCTTGTTAGCCGTTATATGGAGGCACCAACTTTAACTCACTTGGAGATTGCTAAAATGATACTTCACTACATTAAAGGTAATCTTGATTATGACTTAGCTTATTATTCTTCTACAAATTTCAAGTTTCATGGTTATAGTGATGGTGATTGGTCTACTGATATTAATGATCGAAAAAGCACCACTTGATTTTTGTTTTTCATGAGCAACACCGCTTTCACTTGGTGTTCAAAGAAGCAGTCCATTGTGATCCTTTCTACTTGTGAAACTGAACATGTTTCCGCTGCATCGTGTGTTTGTCATGCCATTTGGCTATGAAAATTATTGGAGATGCTTCATATGCCTCAAAACGAAGCTACACCAATTTATGTTGATAACAAGTCAGCTATTGCTTTGGGTAAAATTTTTATATTCCATGATCGAAGCAAGCATATAGATACGAGATTTTACTTTATTAGAAAGTGTATTGAGAACAAAGAAGTTGAACTTGTTTATGTGAAGACCAATGATCAAGTAGCAGACATTTTCACCAAACCATTTAAGAATGGTGATTTTGCAAAATTGTATACTTGAATAGGAGTTATCAAGAGGGAAACAAGTTTAAGAAGGGATGTTGGAAATTAAACTTGATTCATGAATGATAAAAAATTAAATTTGATACATGAATTAGTTTATTTAATATTTATGCATTTATTTAAATCATGTATCCAAATGGTTTTTGTATCCTATTATTCATAGTACATAGGAAAAGTTATTAATTTGTCTATTAAGTTCATACAATATATTTGGGATCCTTTGTATCTATAAAATGTCTTGTGCTTGAGACATTTTATTGAGCCAAATCATAGAATACAAATATTTTTGAGAATTCTCTGAATTTTTCTCTCTAGTCTTGCATCCCATAATTTTTTATTTCCAGCACCCAACGCCAGCACCGTCACCAACATCCAAAGCAACCCAAATAGATCGGAGGAAGAAACATCACCATTTGCAAATCATAGCTGCGCACCCAAAACCCTCATTGTGCGGCGCACCCAAAGCACCTCTAAAGCAGATTGGATGAAGAAATAGTGTCACAATCATAGTACGGCGCTGTGCAAAGGTGATGTAAGTGCACAGCACAGCATTTACTGTTGGGGCACTGTTGTGAACAATAGTGCGGCTCATTGTTGCAGCAACTTGTGTTGCTTACCTAGTAGCGGCCTTCAGAAATTGATGTGTGCTAAAAGAGAGAGAAGAGAGAAGGGAAATGATATGAAAAGAGAAAATAGGAATGATTAGGGTTTGGAAAGTGATAGGGTGGATAGGATTTAATTTAATTTTATAATATTATTATTAAGACCCCGTTTGTTTCCTATTTTTATAAGAATGAAAATGAAAAATATAGCCGTTACGAACCCTATGCAAGAGATTAGAAATTCAAATTTGGTGGCTTGATGTGATGGATAATGGTCATATTTTTCATTTTAATGGGAAAATAATCGAAAACAAACAGGCAAATAGAAAGTAATAAAAAATTATAAATTCACGTGCAAAACTATTTCATTGAACAGTTGTGCTATGTGTACAACCGTCAACCCCAGTTGTACAAGAAGAATAATTCTTCATTGAAAAAATGTATAATTAAAAATAAATTTGAGAAAATATAAGTTTGAAGAAATAGGGCGAAACATGGCCTTAAATTCCCCTATTCAAAATCACTGATATCACTATTTCAAACTATTTTGAAATATTTATGTTGGTTTTCATTTTTAATTTTTCAGAAATTGACGCCCCCTATAAAAATATACATAGAGAGACAAAATTTTATATTAAACTTTCAACGAAATCCTAATTTACTAGAACTATGAGACTGATAATGAATATGGTTCCAATGTGATGAAAATGGTGGACGTAGACGATAAAATCACAAGCAAATTTCATTTAAATTGGAGAAAAAAAGTTAGCAGTTTTATGGTTTTACCCTTTAGCTTTGAGTCAGTCGAAATTCGTACACAATTTTAACATCCTCAGTTGACGATTTTGGTCACGTGGGTATCATGATTTACATACTTAAATAGATTGAGGACCTGAAACCCTACTTTAAATAAGCATATTAACTTTGAGCATGAAGGTCATATTTGCCAATATAAGTATCTTTTAACATGCTTATAAGCTTAGCCAAACATTATACAAAGCATAATATTAAATCTCTTATAAGCATAAAATTATATAATTAGGACAAGAAAGCAATTAATATTAAGAGTAACAAACTTTATACACTACATTTTGCTTGCAGGTTTGCTGAACAATGAATGTCTCCCTTCAGCAACCACCTCCCCAGTTGCTTTGTTTCTTATAAGAACAATTGTTCCAGAATAATTACCTTTCCGACCCAAGACTCTTGAGGTGATCTCTAGTTCATCCTGCCAATACAACCATATAAAAGACATAACTTAATATAGAGCCTCGATGCAGCAGTTACAAAGGTAACAGTCAATGCGACGAATTTTTCTTCTTTAATCCTTTAACCAATCTCCAACCGGGGATACGTAACATATTGTGAGGTCCACACACAATCCCAGGCTCAAAAACGACCAATATATCAGTTATCTTTTCACTATTTGTCCTTTCATATATGGGAAATATCATCGGTTGCTATAAGTTATACCAGTTTGGACATATAACCTGTGGGGTCCGGTAATTCATAAATTTCATACAATAATTTCGTAAAAAATAATGCTATTTGCCATCAATGATGACTCCGTGGCATTATATATAGTCTACTGGTCTGGTAATGCTTTCCCATACCAGAAATATTTTGTGGACAGAAATTTGAGGATTGCAACCTGAAGAAAGGCCAAAATTTGGCTTAAAAACAAATGTTACTCCATTGGTTGATCTTCAATGTTACCGGCGTTTGTAAATTATCCTATGATTATACTTCTTACTAAAATCGCCAGCTTGCTCACAAAAACAAGTTAGATGCACAACCAATTACTATACGAAAAATGCAACTTCTTGGATTGTGTCTATGCATCAATGGCAGTGCTGACAAATGGGTTGGCTGCTTCATGTTATCATATCCAAAAACAAGAAATGTGAAGCTAAAAGGTTAATACACGGGTGCACGAATATATCCCATGACGTCCAACTTCAACTGTTTTCAATATTTTACATATTGCAACGATTAACAAGCAAAAGGATACATTGTTATTTGTCGAATTCTTTAAGCAATCATGACCATAGTAAACCGGTAATAATCATAATCCATCAGATGGGGAAAACGTCCACTAACCAACATGTTCACATGGTTCTTACTTTAGTAACACTCGTTAAAAGATTCAATTCAATGAGCAAAAGCATTAGTAATATTATACGTCAGTAGAATAGCATATAAACCTAATGCGATCCCCTTTCCTCATTGACAATGTATCAAGCAAGCTTTTCAGGTAATGCATTCTACATAGCCCATTCGTTTGTGCTAAAAGGAAAATCTCTGGCAGAATTTAGTCAACTGAGAAGGGAAACAGAAACATGAAAGATTTTTCCACCTTCCGTGGTCAGTTATAGTCTTGCATAAGAAGACCAAAGGTACACTAACCAAGTTTTTTCACACTGAAAACAAACAGTAAGCAGATCAAGAAATCTCTGGCTCTTTCGTCTTAGAAAATGAAATGAAAGTTTAAACCCCTATATAAGCAGTGACTACTACAGTTCAGTGCCAAATCAAAAAATTCGTGAAAAGTATCCATTAAAAATACTGAACCCCAAATAAAAATTACACTAATGACACTAGCAGCATCCATGAATGAAGAAAAAGATGGAGATGGGATCAAGAAAGCGTACTCCCATTTTTGCAGTGGCAAGGCAGTTTATTGACATGTCAATTGAAACATCCATAGGTTGTCCCTCAACGTGGATTACCGCAGCTCCTAATTCATCAACCATAGTGGCAATAGCGCCCGGAACAAAGTTCCCATCCTTATTCTGCAAAATCAACCAAGTCTCGATAAACAATTCCTATATTGTAAATTCCAATGAAATCTCGAGAAACACAATTATGAATCAGTGCTTTAATTTCAATGGCTAACTTAACCGATTTTCAATAAAAATTACCTAAAATCATTGTGTTAAATTCATTTGCTCAGTTCTCATTCCTATTCTGCGAAATCAAATCAAATTTGAAGGAAAAATAACTATACCGAATTGGTGTTTTTAGTTAATTATCTAAATTGGCATTCCTAATCTGCAAATCGAATCAAATTTGGACAAACTTCACCCGCAATCCTTATCCTCATACCGTTGATCAAATTACCATCAAGTCAGTAAAAATAAAGAAAGAAAGAAAAGAAACCATAATACGTGGAGATTTACTCTCTTACAGTGAGGCGATGGGGCACTTTGAAAGAGCAAGTGATGGAACCGGGTTGGACTCGGTCGACTCGGATGCCTCTGAGGACGAAATACTCGTAGAAGCTTGAATCGATATGGGGTCTGTGGGGAGGGAAATTGAGTCGAGATACGCGATCTAATCCTTCAATTGCAAAATTTTCAAGAAATTCCTTTGGCTTTTCCATTTTCAAATCCTCCGGCAAAAGATGGATTTTTCAGATTTCAGATTTATCAACCATACAACCTTCGTCGAGTTAATATATTTATTTCAATACTCCACTCAAACCACTTATGATCACAGTTTACTCTTGAAGTTTGTCCATTGCCCTTTTGATCTTCATATTTCACCCTCAAAAATTCGAGTTAAATGTTTTGTTAGCCACCGAACTTTTGGCTATGTCACGATTCACTCATCGAACTTTCGAATTTGTCCTGTTGGCCGCTGAACTTCAATCCATTACTACCTATTACTCCTTGGATCAGATATGTTAATTGACGTGTCTACATGGCAGGCGGGAAATCTAGTTGGCCAATTAAATCCTTACAAGTGTTAAATGATTTTCCAAATAACCGACCACATCAGCATTAATAGCACGCCTTTCCGTACATTTCATGCCTTTCATTGAAACGTTTTCCTCCACAAAATGAAACACACCTTTCATTTACATTTACCTCACCCAAATTGTAAACATCCACAGAAAAAAAAGAACCATAATCGAATTCGAAACCCTAAATTCCTTAAATCGAAACCCTGAGCTCAAAATCAAAGTTCGTTCCAGTCGTTGCTCACTACTCAAACAGCCTACCCAAGCGTAGAGAAATAGCTCCCATTCCATTGTTGTAATTTTTGCAATGGACGGACAACATGAAGGTAAATCTCGAACTCATGGGCTTTAAAAATATGACGCACATGCATTTTAAAATATTGGGCATTCTAGTTGCCATTCATTTGACACTTATGGGTTTTGTAGTTGCTATTCTCATTGTTGAAAATTTTGAAGTTGCTATTAATCTGACAATTATTGGTTTTAAAAATCTGAAAAATATTTATTTACATGGTTTCTTGTGGGAATTGTAATTGTACTCTTAGATTAATTCACAGAATCCTGTGTATCATATGAATGACCTTCATAATATGATTTAATTGTTCAACTAGATTGATATGGTTTGATTCTGCTTGAGTTCTCCACTTTGATATGGGGTTGAGTAGGTTTGAATCATTTGATAGTTAATTAATTTCCAACATCTATACTATAGTAGCAAATGCAATTTTTTTTTTTTTTTTTTGGGCCACAATTCGTTGTTCCCTATTTGATGGTTTACATGTATTCCTCGTTAATGTGGTTTAATTGTATTACAGATTGTGAGGAAGATCCGGACTTCGTTGACTCCGATAATGACTTTGGGTCCAAAGAAGACGACATTAAATATAATAGAAATGTAACCGATGGGATTGAAATTGGATTGAGGGTCGTAAATATGAAGCTCAAGAAGAATGAGAAGAGGGCAAGGTCAATGAGTTGGATGAATTGGAACTGCCATCATCAGAGGAACTACGTTCTCAATGTTCATTCGATGAGGATGACAGTTATCAGTTTCCTAAATTCACTTTTGATTAGGACATGAAAAATCCTCAATTTGAGGTTAGGCAAGTATTCAATTCCGCATTAGAGTTTCAAGAGGCGGTTCAAGCATACGGTGGACTGAACGGGTACAACATCAAATTTAAGGCAAACGAGGAAAGAAGAGTGCAAGGAATTTGTAAACTGGGCTGCAAATGGCGAATATAGGCCTCTAGAATGGATGCATCTGAGAGATTGCAAGTAAAATCTTCCACTTAGCATACCTATAGCTGGGATCAATATAATAGATACAACAATTACATATTCTTGATGCATCGATATATTGAGCAATTCAAGGCGGACTCGGACTGGAAGACCGAGCTAATTTTGGTAACAGTGAAGAAGGATCTCCGCACTGATATTAGCTGAAATGTGGCATGGAATATGCGAAGATATGCCAAAGAAGTTTTAGCACGAAATTTGCAAGAGCAGTTTAGGCGGTCGTAGTCTTACGCAGCAAAGGTACTTCGTACAAATGTTGGCTCGACAATCATTATTGTATTACGGGAGCAGATATTTTAGGGGATCTACATATGCTTCAATTGTTGTAGGATAGGGTTTCGAGATTGTTGTATGAAGGTAATAGGTGTTGACGGTTGTTAACTAAGGGGTTGTTTCGGAAGGATAATGTTTACTGCAGTTGGTCTTGATGCTAATCACTACATCTATCCAGTTGTTTAGAATAAAAATATAGCAGCTTGGCAATGGTTCTTGACTTATCTTTCAAAGGATATTAGTATTGGAGACGGAAGAGGTAGGACGCTTATGACGGACAGACAAAAAGGGCTACAAAATGTGGTAGACGAGTTTTTCCCAGAGGTCGAGTACAGGTTCTGTGTAAGACATATGTACACGAACTTCTTTAATGCTTGGTTCAAGAGTAAAATTCTTAAGAATTACTTACGACGTGCTACCAATCGACCACTGTTGCTGACAACCAACATTGGATGCATCAAATTTGTGAACTTAGTGATGAGGCATACAAATGGTTTATGGATAGACGTCCACGAGAATGGAGTAGATCACATTTCTTGGTTCACCAAGACTTTACGAAGTGATAGACAAAAAATTAGTTGTCAATGTTAACTTCTCTATAATTAACGTTCATGAATAGGATTCAAAAGCATCAAGACAATATGGTGAGGTGTATAGGATGTTAGTGTCCAAAGATCATGAAAAAATTGCTCAAGATTGCTAAAAAATCATGTGAATGCTCATTTTACTTTTCTAGTTGATCGAAATGTCATGTTGAATGTAGCTCAAAGACATATGTAGTCAATCTACAGGAAAGAACTTGTGCATGTAGAGAATGGGAGCTTACAAGCATACCTTGCATCCATGCTGTAGCAGTAATTCTAGATTTTAGAAATGATCCAGAAGATTTCGTTCACGCCTGCTACACGATTGAGTCATATATGAGATGCTACAGTAGTATCATGCATCCAATCAACAGTATGTGATTATGGCCACAGTTGGACATGGTTGATATTACTTTGCCGTCACCGTGAAAGGGGAAGAGATAAATAAATCTCAAAAAAGGAACTGATGAAGAAGTGATAGTGCATTCGCAAGCAAAGACCTATATCCGGAGAAAGGGACGGCTGAAAATGACATGCTCATTATGCGGACAGCAATGTCATAACAAACGGTACCACTCTAGGTCGAATGCACCGGATTCTGTAAGCATGATCTTTTTTTTAGGTGATAATTTGATTAATGTATTCTAACTTTGGTTTTTTGTGGATAGGATTTGTTTGAAGGAAATTTAGAACCGGTTGACACGCATTTTAATAGAGCGGTGGATGAACGAGTTAGTACACGTTTTATTCATTTTTTAAAGTTAGTCATCATATTTTGTGGACAATGAGAGCATTCTGATAATGTTAATGTCTGGACATGCAGGGTAAAATGGTTCTAGAGTGAGCGTCGAAGGACTACAATCCCGGGAGCGAACAAAATTTCCATTTCATTCCAATCCCAATGGTGTCTAGTAAAGCGTGGACGAATGGACTAAAATTTGGTCCAGCAGAAACAATTTACACTCCGTCAACTCCTATTGATGTTCCAACCGATTATGTGAACCTTGATGATGTCGTTGATGACTTGGTTGACATGGAAAATGCGGAATCTGCTAGTATGAGAGTGTTGAGGGTAGAAAAACGACAATGGACGAAGCAGAGTACATTGGTAGGATCGACTGTTTGACTCCGTGTTTGTGTTTCTTAACCAAAGCTGTGACCACATATTTTTACGGAAGTAGAGTACATCAGCAAGACCATATGTTTGATAATGTGTTTTTGTTTTTTGGCGAAAGCTATGACCACATTTTTTTGGATGAAAACAGAGTACATCAGCAAAGTACATTCAGCATAGAATTAATTTTGTAGTTTAACGTAAATAATGGACAGAACATTGGTTAGAATGGGGACAACAATTGAATTATGATTATGTCCATTATAAATGATTTTGGCATGTACATTGACAACATATCCTGTGTGGTTGAATGGGTATATATTTCTCGATTCCATTTGTAATCCTTTCTTTTTGAAATATATAAACTATTTGTTAAAAAATTGAACGCACTAATCAGTTAAATGATAATAAACTAGTTTAGATTAATGTACACCTCCATTACAAAGTTTGATGCCTATAAATATTCAAATTACAAACATAAATTTCATTGCACTGGGATTAGCCTACATTTCAATGTTTGACGTCTACCAACAGTTATAAATCGGTGAATTACACAAACTTGACAACAACATAAACAATTCAATTTCACGGGCTCCTCCTTTTTGTTTCCTGTTATCTTTCTCTCATTTTCCCTTTCGAAAAGAAAATTTGACAGAGATATCAACGTCCTTTTCTTCGATCATTTTAGCAACATGCTTCAACATACCCAACAACAAATGAATTTTCTATGTAGCGGTTGATCGACCAATTGAAAATATTCATCTTCGTCGAGCCGTTTGAAATGACTACAATCATTAGTACAATAGAAGAACAGTCATCCTTAAGTTTTTAGTCGTCCTTTCAATCTCCATGCATTGCTGAATTCCCTTGCCACATACTGGGCATGGTTTATTCATTAGGCAATCCCATAAGTAATGGTTTGGCTTCCTGCAACCATGACAAATCCTCTCGTTCTTTCCTACTATTATAATATGCTATTCCAGCTAGGAAAAAAAAAAGATCAGTCATCATATTCATTCCACATAGTAGATGGGTGATTATCAATAAATGCTATCTAGTTGGCTCAATTTTACTTGCATAGACCTACATTAGGCAACACCAAGAAACCAATGACTGTAAAAGCTGAATTATATCAACATGTTAAGTTGCTATTCATTCTTTTAGATCTATCAATGCTCCTGATTCTACCATTTAAGCCATGTTTAGTTAATGGTTGATGTTGAACTCAAAAATTGGACCTTCCACGTGGCCAATCGATAGCTACTCCACGTATTCCTCCTTGCACATAATCAACGCACGATTAGACGCACACGGCCGGGACCAGTGGGGGTGGCGGCGGCCGTATACACTCCGACGGTCAAGTCAGGTTAGGGTGGTCGGAACAGTACTCAGAGGTTGTGTTAAAAACACTAAGGGAGAGAAGAAAATATATAAACTTGCTATGGAGTGCTATGTAGTAAGAGTTTCATTACCTTTGCCTCTTGCCAAACCTTGGGTATTTATAGGTGGGATGAACTGTTGGATGTGGGACACGTGTATACATCTGACGGTATGAGGTGTCCGTTCATAGGCGTCAATCAGTCGCGTCTGTAGAGTGGGCGGACAGTTTGTTTCTCCTGAGTTAAGTTGACATAAAGTTGATAAGTCACATCAATTAGCCTCATGGAGATGTCAAATCAATTTAAACCTTAAGTGCAGAGAGGATCTTGGCAAAAATCTCTTTCTAAGATTGGCGACGGATCTTCTGATAGAGGACCACTTCGCCTCAGTCTCAGGGATGAGGCGCTTCGGTCAGTTAAGCAGGATCGCCTATGTCTCACAGTGTGCTATCGGTCGTTGACATTGATGAGATCACTTCGAAAACAATTCGAATAGGTGTCTATCAGGTCGGAATGTGTGGTGATGGGACTTTCGAAGCGATTCAGATAGGGGCGTAACAGTGGTCCTCCAAGTCCAGGTATGAATATTTATATTATGGGTGGACTTGCTTTCCTGACCGGATGTGCATGTCTCGGTATTGGGGATCGCGACTTGTGGGAGCTTGTGGGTCGATCTTCTGCAGTAACCGAAGCCATGATCTTAGGCAGATGCGCTAAAGCTTCGTTACTGCATAAGGGAAACACTAACCGATGTGAGGTCGAAGCGCTGCAAGACTGAACGATTAGTAGGGAAAAAAGGTAAACGTGACGATCGAGGCGATGACCCACATGGGACTCGCGTCAGACGTGCCTAAGCTTTGTAAAATTGAGTGAGGAGCTCATCTGCCACCGGTGCGCTGACCCACAGGGGACGACGCATTGAGAGATGACTGAAACTTTATAAAGCTTAGGAGGGAACGCAGCCGCCGAGGTGATAACTCACAGGGGATTTCGCATCAAGTGCGTCTAAACTTTGTAAAGTTGAGTGAGGAGCTCATCTGCCACCTGTGCGCTGACCCACAGGGCACGACGCATTGGGAGATGGCTAAAACCTTGTAAAACTTAGGAGGAAACGCAGTGGCCGAGGCGATGACTCACAGGGGACTTAGCGTCAAATGCGTTTATACTTTGTAAAGTTGAGTGAGGAGCTCATCTGCCACTGGTGCGCTGACCCACAGGGGACGACACGTTGAGAGACGGCCGAAACTTTGTAAAGCTTAGGAGGGAACGCAGCGGCCAAGGCGATGAACCACAGGAGACTTCATGTCAAATGATTTGACAACTATTGCGTATTTCCAAGGTGACAGTTGGGTCCCATGCCCATTCTCCAAAAAAGGCTGCTGCGAGTTCTTATTATTGACGACTGGTGGTGACCGAGGTGACGCGTTTTAAGCGAGCGCGAAGGTCACAGCGAAATCTTAGGCGTAGATCAAATCTGGCGTTTCATTTCAATGGCCTAGATTGAAAATGCGACGAACGGCTTAGATTGATCGCATTTGAATTCAATGGTGGAGATCGGATGGGTCTTTCTATAAAAGGCGGACTCTGAGCTTTTCTCAAGCTTTTTACCCTTGCAAAAACAGACAATATACTCTTCTCTCAAACCATTTGCAATTTTCGGTGTTTTCTAAGCAATTCCGACGAGAAAATACCAACATCCGACGATCTTACACCATTTCCGGCTAGGAAAACCTTCAAACTCGTAAGTTCCAGTACCTTTTAACTTCTGAAAAATGGCTTCTGAGGGGAGTTCTGGTTCGGGGAGGGGGTTAGAACTAGTGAGGATGGACGAGCCCATTGTGTGGCGACCTCCTCAAAAATAGTCGAGGCGATAATAGGGAGAAAATATATGGAAGCGATCGGATAGCCTAGCAGATACTTCTGTGTACTAGGGGGCGTCGGACTACCCATCTAAATTAAGAGAGGCCGACCTAGAGAGACTTAGGGTAGAGTATAGGATCCCATATAACATAAATTTGATCCTCCCCGAGCCCGAAAAGAGGGCCTGCTACCCTAGGCTGAATTGTGTGGCCATTAGTGAGGCGATCCTTAGGGCCGGACTTAGGCTGCCAATTCACCCATTCTTTAGGATGGTGCTTAGATCCTATGGGCTAGCCCCGACCCAACTCAATTCGAACTCATAGAGTCAAATGGTGGGCTCCTGGATGTTGTGGAAAGAAGCGTCACTAGGGCTGGAGATGCCCTTCTCCGTCTTCCAGACCCTTTACATTCCTAAGGTAACTGCCGGGGGGGGATAAGAACCGGGGGTGGTACTAACATCCGACGATCTTACACCATTTCCGGCTAGGAAAACCTTCAAACTCGTAAGTTCCAGTACCTTTTAACTTCTGAAAAATGGCTTCTGAGGGGAGTTCTGGTTCGGGGAGGGGGTTAGAACTAGTGAGGATGGACGAGCCCATTGTGTGGCGACCTCCTCAAAAATAGTCGAGGCGATAATAGGGAGAAAATATATGGAAGCGATCGGATAGCCTAGCAGATACTTCTGTGTACTAGGGGGCGTCGGACTACCCATCTAAATTAAGAGAGGCCGACCTAGAGAGACTTAGGGTAGAGTATAGGATCCCATATAACATAAATTTGATCCTCCCCGAGCCCGAAAAGAGGGCCTGCTACCCTAGGCTGAATTGTGTGGCCATTAGTGAGGCGATCCTTAGGGCCGGACTTAGGCTGCCAATTCACCCATTCTTTAGGATGGTGCTTAGATCCTATGGGCTAGCCCCGACCCAACTCAATTCGAACTCATAGAGTCAAATGGTGGGCTCCTGGATGTTGTGGAAAGAAGCGTCACTAGGGCTGGAGATGCCCTTCTCCGTCTTCCAGACCCTTTACATTCCTAAGGTAACTGCCGGGGGGGGATAAGAACCGGGGGTGGTACTACATTACTTCATGGGGTTCCCGTACTTCATTCATGCTCGATCTGCTGAGCTCCATCAAAGAATGGAAGAGCTCGTAGTGATGGGCTACAGGGTGATGGGACACGATGGAGGGGGACCCCCTGGCGCCTCTTACGGTCCCAACGAAGTATTCAACACTTAGTGAGTATAGTAGTTGCTTTTCTTTATATTTCTCTTCGGTTCGAACCGTGACTAATATTTGCATTTCTTTTGTATGTGCTCTTCCTCGATGTAAGCTATCTTCCGAAGACTTCAAAACCATCTGCATCATCTATCAGCTGCCTCAAAAGAAGAGGTCATACCATAGGCTGATCCGAAAGAACATTCACTTCGTTACACACGACTTGATGGCATCCCAAGGTAACTGGACCGAAGCCTTTACCTTTTATTCCGAACTCTTAACACTTGTACTAATTTGTCATTCGTTCCTTGCAGACAATTTTAATAAGAAGATGCCCGTGCGCCCTGACTTTAAGACCATCCAGAGGATGATGGCAGAGGCACGGGCACTTAAGGCCTCCTCATCCTCCTACAAGAAGCAAATGGAGGATTTGGTGGACGCCAGTAAGAGGCTTCAGCCTCCGACGGAGGAGGAGGTACCCGAGGACTCGGAGGCTGATCTCCGACGGAAGGGCAAGAAGAGCGCCGCACCTCCAAAATGCCCAACTGTGGCAAGGCCACCCCTTGTTCTGAAGCAGACCACAATTCTCACCGGGGTGGCCATTCCAGAGAAGAGGCCTGCGCCATCTGAGGCTGCCACTGCCACTGCCCCGACCACAACACCACTTACTGCTGTGCCAATCGCTCAAGTGTCGGGGCAGCAGAAGAGGAAGAGGCCCCGTCCCTCTAAGGAGGTTGACTTTCTGGACACAAATCCGAAGGAGCCGGTGAGGGAAGTGTCGGAGGCCCTTTCTCC